AGAGACATTGGAGGAAATCCCTTGTTTGAGAACACAGCCCACAGAAGGCAGATTGGAACTTGAAACTAACTTAGGCTGAATCTCACTGGGTCAGTTGCTAAACCAAACAGCCCTGCCCCCCAACATTCTCCACAGGATTTAAACAGGACCCAGAGTCTCCTAACATTGTGTTAAAAATGTCTAGGGGCACCTGGGAGGCTCAGTCGGTTAAGCGTCTGACTCTTGATTTTGGCTCAGGTCGTGATTTCATGGTTTGTGAGTTCAAGCCCCACATCGGGCTCTATGCTGACAGCATGGGGCCTGTTTGGAAGTTTCCCTCTCCCTCTCTCTGTCCCTCTCCCACTCCCACTCTCTCTGTCTCTCGAAATAAACAAATAACCATTAAAAAAAAACTTAAAAAAATAAAAATGTCTACTACAACAACACATTGGAGATGGATCCATTCTGAATAAGAGGAAGAAAGAAAGCGGAAAGAAACAAGCAGAGCCTCAATAGAGCCCGTTTAGATCATCACAAAAGATCTACATTCATGTCATGAGAGACTCAGGATGACAGAAGAATGGTGCAGAAAAGAAATTTGAAGAAGTAATGGTTAACAACTTTCAGCGAAGTCTCACTTTCCGGATGGCGGTATGAGGAGGCTTGGGGGCCCATCCTCCCGTGAAACAAACATAACTGGTGAAAACTATAAACCCAGACTGCTCATCTCAGCGCCAACATGAAAGAGCTCGGAAGTTGTCATTCCCACCTTCATGGTAAGAAAAGAGCTCAATACGGACAATCAGTAACTCTCTCAGGCCTGTCATAGGGCAAACTGCCATCCCCAGATCTGGAGAGACAGGTGAACACATAAAATCACAGCCGAGGTCAGCTTACCTGAAGCAGAGGCTGCTGGGGAGGAACACTTAAAATGTAATTGTGACAAATTGCCAAAGCCTGAGTGTGGACTAGCTTGAGAGTTAGAAACCCCCAGTCTTCACATCTGTCTACCATCTTGACAAAGGTCCTTGGAGGAAAGGCCGTTGAAACTAGGTGAACTCTGAGTCAAGTCAAGTCAAGACAGCCTTGAGAGTGGGATCTTGCAGGGAACTAACAAGGCAGATCAAATAATGACCATTTTATGGGAATGAGGCTTTGAAGTTATTTCAATTCTGTTCTGCCTGTCTCCAGTGGCTTCTAGGCTACTGATTTTCACCAAGATTGTGGGCATTTGGTTTTCAAGTCTTCTGTGAAGTCGGAGGGTGGGAGATGGGACCAGGGTCAACTAAAACGCCCCAGAGCTCGCTGTCCTTACCAAGATTCAGCAATTTTAATTGAATAAGCACACCCCAGATTGCTGCAAACCTTTGGTTAATTCAGAGGGTTCTGAAAAAGCTGGTTCTGACAATTTTTTTTTTGCCAGCTTTCTCATGGCTTTTCCATAGGAGAGAATTTTTAGAGGTCTTCAATCTGCCATTGTCACTGACATCCTTTTGAGAGAGCTTTTAAAATGGGAAAATGTTATCACTATTTAAAAGTCATGAACGTGTTCTGATTGACCTGGCTGCCTGTCAGACTATTGTGTATCCAGGGCAGTCTTAGACTAGTTAGTTAGGAATTGAAGTTGTTAGCAGAGGGGAAAGACCCATCTGTGGGCTATAGAAAGAAGTCCAAGGGAGCACTGGGAAAATAGTATTCAGAGATGGGCAGTGGATGTGTGTTCAGATAGGAATGCAGTTTGGTGCCATGGCCAGAGGGCAGCAGGACCAGTGCTGATGGTACCAGGTGTGTGTACCTGTCCTTATTCAGGTTGATTCTTGGGACCTCAGCCAAGGGGGACACTCAGTATTGACTTCATGCCTACCCAAAAAGGGACTTGAAAGTGACTAATGCCTGGACTCTCCTCAAACCCAGTCAGGTCCTGATTGCTGGTTTCCAGTCTGGAAGGTTCTTCTGTACTTTAGGGCACTGACTAGGTAGACAGATGTTCACAATGATCATTCATCTGCTTATAAAATTCAAAGATCTTCTACTTCTGTGAAGGTGGAAGATGTTTCCTTCCTTATGTCCTCACCAGAAGACACCTGCTGGTTTCCTACAATAAACCTTGAAGTTCTGAACTATATGACTATCTTCCCATGATGCCATGTTGGTTAGTGACAACAGTAGGTGGGTATGGTGGTAGGTCTGGACTTGATGAAAGATGTTTCGCAAGGGTTGAGAAACACCAGCCTGAATCTGGTCATTCTCACAAGGTCAGTGGGGTCTCCCAAAGCACAAAGGACAAGGTTTTTGTGATGTCTTGAGTTTGCCTTTTTGTCATTCTATGACCTGTGCAAGTCATCCACATATCCACATGGCCTCCGTGCCCTCATCTGTGGAGTAAGACAGTTGGGCTAGTCCTCTAAGGACCTCAAACAATGGTTGCAAAATTAGTTTTTATTTGAGGGGACAACCTTTCCCAGCCTGGGTAGCCCTGTTCTTCATTCTTGCCTCCAATTTTTCATATATTGTATCTGCATTCACTCTCAACTTCCTTTCATCTCTTCCTCTTCTTGGTTCCTAAAAACCAGGCGTCTTCTTCCAAAAATAAGACTCTTATGGCATCAATAATCTTTTCATATGCATCTCCAATGACTCTCCTCTATGCCTGTGAACCATGAGCACTTGGGACCAGTTTATCTTTCCTCCTATACTTCCTCCTTGTCATCCTTATCACCCTCTTGCTGAGAAAACAGAAAAGAAGTTAGTTTAACTGGATGCCAGTGAGCAAAGAGGAATGGCATATGACTTGTGATCCACCGGATTCCTGGATATCTCCCTCAGGGTCTCCCAGGCACTTCCACGCAGCATGCCCAAAGCTAAAGGCATGATCTTCCTGCTGGAGTCTACTCCTCCCATATCCCTAGTTCCCTTCAGGCTCCCCAACCTGGTACATGGGCAGCAACCTGTGCCTCACCTGGTCCCTCACCTACACTCTCAGGTCCACCTCCTGAACATCTCTCAAATAAACCATTTCACTTCTTGTATGGCAAACTTGTGCGTCATCATCTATGCCTGGAGTGTTACGTTTATCCCCAACCCCTTGTCCACCCATCCTAAGGACCCCAGAGCAGTCGCTCTGAAATCCACACTCATCTGAACATCCCCCTGTCTAGCTGAAAACCATAAAGTTCTATAGTGTAAAGTCCAAACTCTGTTCTATGGCTCCAACCACCAGGCCGGGGTTCTTTCCAATATACTAGCTCTCAGATGATGGTGAAGAATGACAAGGGCCCCCGTGCAGAGAAAGAGCAACTTTATTTGGTGAGGAACATGGGCTGTAACACGTGCCTGTGGGAAAGAAGGGAGAGCAGTTTCCTTGGAGAGAAGGCTGCTCTGGTCCCCACATAGTGGCCGTGTCATTGTCCAGGACATGGGTCAGCCTTCTGTGAGCCCTCGGAAGCTGGGCAGGGAGTGGATTGAGCAGCAGGAAGTGGTTCTGTTGGGAGAAGCCCCCAGTCAGAATGGAGACTGGCGGTCACTGACTTTTGTTGGTATTGGCCCATCATCAGACTTGCCCTCCAAAGGAAGGGGAGGGGGCTGAGAACCTCAGGCTAGCGTCTGGGGCCTGGGGCCAAGGGGACTCCTTGTGCATTTGTTCGAGTGCATGGGTATCCATGTGTACCTATGTGTGTTGTGTGTGTGTATCCATAGCCATGTGTCTTTCTCTTTGTAGCTGTGTTGGGGTGCTGTCTGTGTCTCTCCACCTCTGTCAGCATTTCTGTGGACTTCTCTGTGCATCTCTGTGTACCTCTGTGTGGCTGTTTGTCTCCCTTTGGAGATAGTCACTGTCCCAATAGAGTCACTGTCCCAAGCCCCCCGCTGTCCCCTGCCAGGAGAAGAGCAGCAGCACCCAAATCCTGGGGATTGGGGAACAGCACTCACCAGTTTGACAGAGGCTGGGTCCCTTCCCAGAAGGCTTAGACCTTGATGACAAATTCCAGCCCATGGATCAGCATGTCTGGAAAATGAAAGAATAACCACTGCAGACCAGAGTGATGATCTCAGTGTGAAGGAGTTCAGAGATATCCCACACTCCCTGGAGGCCTGGGGACGGGCACTGGGAACTCTGGTGATCCCACTAAGCTCGGGTGAAGCTTGGCAGGGCTAACACCTCCTTCCACCAACCAGCTCAGCTGTTTTCAGTGTTGGGCTGCTGGAGGCGGGGGGGGGGGGGGGGGGGAGGGAAGCAAGGCCTATCCATTGACATTATCTGGATAATTAAAGGCAAAAAGGGGCGCCTGGGTGGCGCAGTCGGTTAAGCGTCCGACTTCAGCCAGGTCACGATCTCGCGGTCCGGGAGTTCGAGCCCCGCGTCAGGCTCTGGGCTGATGGCTCGGAGCCTGGAGCCTGTTTCCGATTCTGTGTCTCCCTCTCTCTCTGCCCCTCCCCTGTTCACGCTCTGTCTCTCTCTGTCCCAAAAATAAATAAATGTTGAAAAAAAAATTTTTTTAATTAAAGGCAAAAAAAAAAACAAAAAACAAAAAACCCGCAAAGGGGAGAGCTGAGGCTGGAAGGATCTGGCTCTCTCCTATGGTGTGCAGGGATGGGGCTCCTTGGGGGAAAATCGCTATTCTGGAAAGGGAGAGAGGCCTTGGAAGTGGGTACTTACCAGCAATGGAATGCACCAGGGTGACATCCAAGTGGCTGAGAACCTCATTGACCAGAGGGCACACCTGACCCAGGGGCAGAGAGAGGCGTTAGGCAAAGTGGCACCTGTAGGGAGGCCCTGGGTGCAGCAGTATCCCGAGGATGGATTCTCTGGGGGAGATTTTGTATCATTTTTCTGTGTCTGAGAGTGTTGGTTCTAAGCAGTCTCACAGATGAATGCTTACACATTCACACGGGCAGAGGGAGAAAAGGGAGGTGTGTACGTGAAGCGCCCGATCACATGAGCCAGTGTTCACCGTGTGATAGGACACCTGCTTCTAACTAGAGCTTCTTCGGGAGAGGTGAGTTTCTGGTTATAGGAGGCACCCTAGCATAGGCTGGAAGAGTGCTTGCCTACAGCCCTGGTGAGGGTGGCCTGGGAGCTTCCTGGGGCAGGGGCCAATCCATTTCAGCTGTAGTGTGGACGTGCCCAGGGCCTGGCCCACAGCAGGAACCAATCAATGCATTTTGAAGGGTGGAAAGAAGAAACACAGACAGATGGATCAGCGGACAGGGAGACATATCAAACTGAGGAGTTCAGAAAACCTCGCTCCAGGGGCTTCTTTCATCCTGAGAAGCCCTATGACCTAAGAATCAGGAGCTGCCACTTTTATTCACTTACCTTGCCCTGTACCAGCTCAGGAAGGACTTCATTCAAGATGCCGCTGAGACTGTCGACAAGGCTTTGAACGGGGAGGGGAGCAAATCTGAAAGAGAAAATCCAGGGGGCAGTGCAGAGGCCTGGGGTTGGTATGGAGAAGGCTTCAGAGGGGCTACTGTGCCCGTGTCGGTCTCAGTACTCCATGACTAAAATGGGGCCTTGTCCACTCACACCCTCATGCAGGTGAACACCGGGGGGTCCAGCCAAAGGGAGTGGCACCCTACACAGCAGTACATACAGTAGGTATGAATAGAATAAGCACACAGTTCCAGCATACAGTAGGTATTCAGTGAGACTTTGTAGAATCCATAAATGGATGAACAGTGCTTAGTACATCGTTGTCATGAGAATTCAACGAGATATGTGTGAAATACAACATACGTGCTCAGTGAATGTTAACCATGATGAGGACGACTTCTGCACATTATGCAGACTCAGTCTCCCCTGTGACAGGTAACTGAAATAAGGAAACCAGGTCGGCTGCATAGCTGTTTTACCCCATACTGGGACAAAGCATTTTCGCACCTGTTGTCTTAGTGGATTCAATCAAGAGCCCCAAAGTGCTTCTGTAGTACGGTGATCTGAGTACGCTGAGACTCTAACTGGGGAGGCACTGTCCATGTTCACACAAGAATCCCTCTACTTCTCCACATGCCCCTCTGGTAGGTGGGCTTGAACTCAGATTTTTGATTGCCTGATCTAGCATAAAACTGGTCAGCCCCACCAAAGAAAAGATAAGTGGCTGTTTACCCATCCATCCATCCATCCATCCATCCATCCATCCATCCATCTATCCATCCATCTTCCCACCCTTCCACCCTCCCACTCATCCATACTCCCATTGTTCTGTCTTCCCAGCCATCTGTCCATCATCTCATCAATATTGTTTCTGGGCAGGAGAAGCCACCCCTCTGGCCTCACCCATCAAGCAGAGAGATTTGCAGTCTCCCAGGGGAGTGAGTGCAGTCACCAAGAACCAGGTGGATCTTCCCCTGTTCATTTTTCACAGCTAAAATTTCTGCAGTGATGTTTAGCTTCACAGCCAGCTTTAACAGACTTCCGACCAGGGGCCTGCAGAGGAAACAGTTTGCTGCATCTGTATCTGAGTTGAAAACTCATATCTGTTAGACTCCAACACCCCTTTATGGCTATGCATTGCATCAGGGTCTCCTTTGGTGAGCCACCCTCCCCTTCCCCCTTGGGGTCCACTCACGTATTCACATTGAGGATCATGCCCAAAGGGATGGTGACATAGAGACGATGGCCATCAGGGCTCTGCACAAGGCCTAGTTCCAGGAGCTGGGGATTAGTGATCTTCAGACTGTCCAAGAAGCAACATTGGAGGGAGGAATATTAGCTCCTTCAGCCCCAAATCTGGAAACCACCTTTAATCCAAACTGTACCCATCCCAGAGGAGGAGCTACTCATGAGATGGGATGGGGGAGAAAAGAGAGGAGTCTTGCAGCAAAGGCCACGTGAGTTCTGAGTCACACATCAGTGTTTCCCAGCCTCTGCACTGGGTCAGATCCTAACACATCATGCCCCTCTCTGCATCTCATGTCTATGAGGTATTCCAGGGTGGAGGCTGTGTCTGGATTATATTTGCATCCTGTATACCAGCTCAGAGTCTTACAAAGAAGGGGCCTAGTCCATATTGGTTGACTTTGTGGATTGATGAGTGGGTGGGAGGATGCATGGGAGAGTAGCTGGTTAGATGGTAGAGAGAATGGACAAATGGATGGATAGATGAGTGGGTGAGTGGATGAGAGTAAGTGGAGTAAGTCCTTCACAAACATTTATGGGTAAGAAGCACTTACTGCTCTGGTTCTTGCCATAACCGTCAGTGGTGGGTCAATCAACAATGGTCACGATCAGATCAAGGAGCAGGAAGTCAGGGAGAATGGAGAGAGGATGGAAGCAAGACTCTCCTCTGAGCCGATCTTACAACCAGTGTGCCAGGTGATTACATCTCTCCTAATCTCCCTGACAGTTTTTCTCTGTGGGTACTATGATCTCATCTTACAGATGGAGAAACCAAGCCCAGGGAGACTGTGTGCCTTGGTTTCCTATCACCCAGCAAGTACATGGTGCATTTGGAAATCAAACTCAAGGCTATCTGTCTGTCTTCAAGTCAGGGCAAGCGCCTGGGTGGGTAGGAATCTTGGAAATGGCTTTGATCCAGCCCTGTCAAGGACCCAGGATTTGCCAGCTCCCCGGCATCAAACTTCCCATTGCCACTTGCTTAGAGAGCTCTCGGGTGTCTCGTGGGAACCCCACATCAGACTGCTCAGTGGACATCCACTGATGACATAATTGAGGAGAGTTGCGTTCACTTTCTTGCTTACATCAAGGGCCACCTGTGTTCTGAAGGATCCCACAGGTGAGGAGAACAGAATTACCACTGTGTGGTGGGAAAGCCTTGGCTTTGGACTTAAGTAAATTAGAGTTAGAGCTCTTGCTTAGCATCACTCTAGTTGTGTAAGCACAGGCAACTTTCCATGCTTCAGTTTTTCCATCTGTAAACTGGAGATTATTACTTCGACCTGAAAGGGTTGTGAGGGTTATAGATGATGCTGGGGACTCAAGATATTCATCAGGACTGGGGGCAATCCCCGGTTCAGGAGGGCTGGTGTTCCTCACCAGACTGTGAGAAGGCTGTCATGAGTCCTGGCCTCATGTTCAGACCACCCTCCCCCCACCTCCTCCTCCAGGGCCACTGCCTGGGGCTCCCAGATCTCCATGGAGGTTATCTGGTGGGGGTGGGGACCAAGGCCCTATTTTATGTCTACTTACTCAATGATGTTGTTCAGGACAGGGACCAATGAAGTCACTTTCCCAAGCAGGCCCCCAAGCAGGCCCCCAGAAGTGTCTCCTCCAGTCTTCAGGATGTCCAAGAGTGGAAGGTTTTGTAGAATGCCCAACAGACCCCCAGAGAGCAGGCCACTGCTGAGACCTGGAAATGGGTGTAGGGGTAGGTCCTTGGGGGGTCAAATCTGACAATTCCAGATCCTCAGCCCCTCTCTCCCAATCATCCCCCCTGCCTCCCTCCCCACACTGAACAGTTGGACACACACACACACACACACACACACACACACACACACACACCTGAAAGTGGTTGTCACAGACTCACCACTTGTTAAGCTTCCAGCAAGATCTGTGGGATGTGGGGCTTGGGGTGGAGTCCCAGCCAAAAGCAGGTTCTGGTCCAGGGGCAAGGGCAGGACTTCCAGCTGGGCTGTGGTATGGGCCAGCAGCCCACAGAGGACAATGAGGCCCCCAGTTTGAAACATCTTCTATCTTGGTATCTGTGGATAGAACAATGGGTCTAATGTAGCCCAGATACCAGAGAGGAATTACCCACCATCTGCCTCCTGGCTCTCGAACACCAGGAAGTGAATGGCAATAGCTAACAACACTACTCAGCATTTCCTCTGGCCCAGGCATCAGGGTAGGCACTCCAGACCTGGTAACTGATTTCATCTTAACCATCCCCTAAGATGTGGGAGCATATTACCTGCACTGTACAGATGAGCAGAGGGAGGTCTTGTGAGTGTAGGTAACTTCCCCCCAAGGTTTCAAGCACACAGTAGGGGTGGGATTTGAAGCCAGATCTGTCTGACCCAAAGGCCTTAAGTTAAGTGACCATCGGATTTACTCTCCAATTGGGCTTGCTTGCAGTGGCCTGCCCCTAGTTCTTGCTGTCCAGACAAGAGAATGGAAAGGCTGAGGGGCTGAACTGCTTTGCTATTATCCCCAGGAAGTCTTTTGGCCCAGGGCCAGCTTGCGATGGTTTGTGGAAACCCTTTGAAATCACAGAGGTCATGTGGCCATGGCCATCATCTCATCCAGTGCTGGGGAAATCCTGGGGCCATTCAGAGTCCTCATTGCATAAGGAGAATCAAGGGACCAGAGAGGGGTAGTGACTTTCCCAAGGTCACACAGCAACTTGATAGCAGAGTTGTAGTTGGAGGTAGGTTTCCGAGCCCCCATCCCCCAAACATACACACTATCTTTTCTACACCTTTCTCTTCTCCCTCAAGCTAACCTGAACAAAATTTGGAGGCAGTCCCTGACATCTGGCTGCCTTTTGGACTGTCCCCTCCCAGATATCACCAACCCTGTCACAGAGCCATTTGGCAGCCAGCAAAGGTGTCAAAAGCTGCTTTGGGCAAAATTCCATCAACTGGCTGATGCGGCCAAAGCACCCTCATTGCTGTGGCTGGCTGGAATCGAAAACGCTTTTTGGTCCCAAGAGCCAGTTGTGGCTCTCAAACTTAGATCGCATTCTCTGAACTCTTTTGGGAAACAGACCTTTTATGAATCCAGAGGAAGCTAAGGACCCTAGCTAAGGATGCTGGTCTGAATCCACAATGGCAACCTCAAGTTAACACTCCTGCCGTAGAGATTTTGATTTAGGGTATGAAGAGCACGCTCCTGAGTGAAGCCTATCATGGGATTTTGGCAGTGTGCAATGGCAGCTGCAGCCATACGCTCCCCATCGCCATCAAATTCTCTTTACATTTCCACATTCAAACCTTGCATCGATGTTACTGCCCTCTCAGGGAAGCAGAGTGAATGGCCATTCCCATTCCCCCGAAAATCCCTCTGAAAGAGACCCACAATGAGTGATCCTAAGTGCAGCCAGCCGGTGCCCACCACACAGGGAGGAGCCTGGCGGCCCTGCCACCCAGGGCCGCTAGCGGGAGTGGGACGGGCGTGGGACAGGCAGGTCTCACCTGGGCTTCTCAGAGGTCCTGGCGGCTCTCCCTGCTCTCCTCTCCCCTCGCCTGCTTGCTCCTGCCGAGGAGGTAGCGTCTTTTATAGTGTGCGAATCAGGAAATGTGCGATCAGATGATGGGTTTCTAGATAATTCAGAATTCTGCGATCCGGTGGTGTCTTTCAGGGCTCTCCAAAGTAAATAATTGCCAATCACATTAGTAGGTGGGACACTTAAGCCACTTGATGGACAAGTTAAACAGAGAAAAACTTGAGATGGGGATGTTACTCAAGACTTCATGGTTTCATGCGCAGGGCTGAGGCTGGGGGCCCACGCCCCCAGGTGGCAGATCACATTTGGAACTCGCGAGAGGCAGCCAGCTGGGGCTCGGGAAGAAGCCTCTCCTAATGAGGCTCTTTTCCATTCCTGGTCCAGTTCTTCTCCATTTGGAGGATTCTTGCTCCCAAAGTGTCAGAAGTTTCAAACTGCCTCTGACTTTCCTACATCTGGGGTCTCCTGTTTTCTGGGTCCCTGTTGCACGACGTGCCGGGGGCTACACATCCTCGCCAGAACCCTGGGAGGGAGAGCATGCCGCCCTGCTCCTTTGCACAGTGGGACAAGCGCCCAGACACAGTGAGGATGGGGCAGAGTCAGAATTTCTCTCCCTGGACGATCACAATAAAGCAGTGTCGACAGCTGACACTTGCCGAGCTCTTGCTGAATGCCAGCCTGGCATTGTTTTTCATATTCAGCAACCCCATGAATCCTCCCAGGGTGTGGGCTGGGAAGGAGTAGCCCTGTTTTACCAGGGGAGAACCGAGGCTTGGAGTGTGAGTGGACACGTCCAGATCTGCACAGCGGGCACGGGGCCGAGGCCTTCACACTCCAGCCCGTTCTCGGAGTCACTGTGCTGAGGCACGAAGACACCTTCCTCACACTCACTTGTGCATTTTGCTTTCCCACATCTCATGCTCTTATGAAATTTCACTTTTGTATCCTGGAAGAGTCCTTCCAGGTTCCCAGGCCTGAAGGATGCTGTGGTATCCTGGTCTCTGCCTTTACCCTTTCTTCTTCCCTCCCCCAAATGAAGTAATAAGGCATCTGTCCCCACCGCTTGGGCCTTTGAATCCATTTTGAAGATGAAACAGCTGAGACGTGGAGAGGTCAAGGTCGCAGACTGGTGAGAGCAGCTCTTGTCCTGTAAAACCTAACATCTTAAGAGCAAAAGTAAAAGAGGAGGAGGAAATGCATATTTATTGAGCACTTACTATGTGCCAGGTGCTCTCCCCACCTGAACCTCATCTTCATCAGCATTGGTAGGTATTGTTGCCCCTCAAATGTCAGATAAGGAGACTGAGGTTCAGAGAGGAGGACTACTTCCCAGGGACACACAACGAGTGAGTGGTGGAATCAGGATTCGGCCCTGTGAGCCATGCTGCCTTCCTCCAGGCCAGGCCCTCCCTGAATCTGCTCTCACTTCCTGTCAGAGTCTGACTGATGCCTCCAAGGGGCTAGGACCCTGGCTCTGGACTGACATATCCAATGAAACACTTTCTAGACTCTTCCCACAGCTTCTATGTTGTCAGTCGTCCTCAAAGTACCGTTTTTTGTTATCTTGGTACAACTCTTATGGGTTGGGTCAGGTTGTTGCTATCTTTGTGGGGAAACTGAGGCAGATAAGTCGAGGGACTGATTTAAGTTTGTGCAGCTAGTTACTGGACAGCTAACAGCCTCTGGTGTGGATCCAGGAGGCTACATATATTTTATGGCAGAGAGGGGATGGGTCTGGGTGCAGATTGCCCTGATTCAAATCTTGTGACTCCGGTCAAATCACTTTAATCCCTTGAACTTCAGTTTTCTCATCTGTAAGGTGGGAGGATAATATCTACCTCTCAGGGCTGTGGGAGATGATGTCTGGGGAGTTGGCATGAATCTCGGTTCATAAACTCGCATGTCTGTGTTTTTCTTTCTAATGTATCTACAGCTTAGTTACCATTTCAAATGTCAGTTTGCTGGGTAGCAGAAACTTCGCCATTTTCCTCTGGAGTTTTATTTCTGTTCCAGGGGTTTCACTTGTATCAATTCCTCTAAAGGAGGCTGCCTTGTCCCTATTTTGACTGGCAATGGAGAGAGATCCACATGCCATCTGGTCCCCCCTAATTGCCAGGAAATCTATGCTTCCCTCCCGCCCAGAAGCCCCCCACCCCCTAGATTTAGCATTTACTTCTTACTCTTTGTCAAACACTCAGCATAGTTCTTCGGTTTCTCAATTCTTTGGGTCTCAGGCAGAACTGTGGGAGTCCACCCCAGACCATCTGCCAAGACCCACCTAGACCCTCTCTGGATAATCTTCTTTCCCTGGGGTCCTATCACCTCTCATGGCTCTGGAAGGGCACAGATGTCCTCTGTTCTTGAATCCAGCACACTGACTGGGGGTTTCTGTTGTCCCTCCTCCAGTGCCAAGTTTTGCCTGGGGAGTAGCAAGGGAATTACTTCTTAGAACCCACTAGAACTGTGTTCTCTTCAATTTCTCTTGGGCTTTCACACTCCCCCAACCTGACATGGAGAATTTTATAGTCTTGGAGGCAGAAAACCTTGCTTCAATTCATTATATATGTGCGATTCTATGCCTTGAGTTTCAAAATTAAAGAACCCAGGCTTTGGATGCCTGGGTGGCTTAGTGGGTTAAGTGTCCGACTTTGGCTCAGGTCATGATTTCACGGTCCGTGAGTTCCAGCCTTGCATCAGGCTCTGTGTTGTCGGTGTGGAGCCCACTTGGGATCCTCTGTCCCAGTCTCTGCTCCTCCCTCGCTCACACACACTCTCTCTCTCACTCAAAAATAAATAAACATTAGGAAAAAGCCCAGGATTAAATTTTATTTTTTGTATTTTTTCTTTTTCTTTTAATTTATTTTTTTTAAAATTTACATCCAAATTAGTTAGCATATGGTGCAACAATGATTTCAGGAGTAGATTCCTTAATACTCCTTACCCATTTAGCCCATCCCCCCTCACACAACCCCTCCAGCAACCCTCAGTTTGTTCTCCATATTTATGAGTCTCTTCTGTTTTGCCCCCCTCCCTGTTTTTGTATTATTTTTGTTTCCCTTCCCTTATGTTCATCTGTTCTGTGTCTTAAAGTGCTCATACAAGTGAAGTCATATGATTTTTGTCTTTCTCTGACTACTTTCGCTTAGCCTAATACCCTCTAGTTCCATCCACGTAGTGGCAAATGGCAAGATTTCATTCTGTTTGATTGCCGAGTGATACTCCATTGTATATATGTACCACATTTTCTTTAAAACCATTCATCTGTTGATGGACTCTTTCCATACTTTGGCTATTGTTGATAGTGCTGCTATAAACATTGGGGTGCATGTGTAAAATTTTAAAAACATTAACCTACAGTAAAATTGGCTTTTTCTCCTTTTGGTGTATAGTTCTATGAATCTTAACGCATGTAGAGTTTTATGTAGCCACCGTAACAATCAGGACAAAGAAGAGCTCCATCGTTCCCCAAGCACCCTCCAGCTGCCCTTTTAGTGTCACACCCTACCCCCACCGGTTGGCAACCACTGCTTTGTTCTCTGTCTCTACCTTTTCATCAAAGTCCCAGGCTTTGGAAACTCACAAGCCTTCTCTTTGCTTCTGTTGGAGTTGCCCTTCCTTGAAGCCACAGGAGCTGCATGTCCCACTGCCCTGGGGAGGGCAAGGGGTTGTAGGGCATCAGAAACGTGGAAGGTCATGCCGCTAACATTTCAAGACAGTGTTTTCCGTGTTGGTGATGTCAGTGCCTTCCCAAAGTGTTTCTCAGAAACTGTAGGTGGTGCCCTTTGCTTCCCACAGATCAGGGGGGTGCTGGTTCTGTGGCTCAGGAGCAAGATCAGGTTGGAGGCTGGGTTCAAGGGAGATCTTCAGGTGGCCTTGGAAACCCCAGTGGTTTTGTTGAGGGGCAGTGGCATAAAGGGTTCACAGGGAGCTGGGGGCCCCCACTTTGATGAGAAAACTATATTTGGTTCAGCAGAGTTTGCTTTAAGTTGCACTTACCGTGGAGATTAATTTCCCACCTACCTTTGCAGTTAATGATAACTGTTTTTTATGAGAGCCTAGAGCACTGCATCATCTCTATACCATCCAGAACAACCCTGTGGGGGCACTGAGGCTCAGAGAACACAGTGACCTGGCTAGGGCCAGCCTAGCTGGGAAGACGTGAAGTCAGACTGTCGTCCTGGGCCGTCCAGCTTCAGTGCTCTTAACTTTGAGGGCAAGTTTGTGTCCCAGAATCTTCAGAAAATTCTTGTTCGTGTTCTCTGGAGCCTTCCCACTCCTGAGAAGTCAGACTTGGCTGATGACTCTGGGCAAGATGCTTTCCCTCTGGCCGCCCTGGTTT